ACCGATGGCAGCGCTCTGGAAGCGCAGATCTGTCTTGAAGTCCTGAGCAATTTCACGCACCAGACGCTGGAAGGGGAGTTTGCGGATCAAAAGTTCGGTGGACTTTTGATAGCGCCTGATTTCACGCAGAGCCACGGTACCCGGCCTGTTAGAATTAAAACACAGTGGAAATAAAGATAATTAGTATTGAAAATATATTCTGCATTGCCTTAAAAATAGGAGTCCACCCTCCAGACTAAACCAAGCACTATACACTTCTGTTTTCCCGAGGAGAGTCCCAGCATTTACAACACAGAATGAGTTCTGCTGGCAAAGGGTCGCTGTCTCCTCACCACCAATCTCTGCCAACTCCCACTGGCTTCAGCAGGGATCCCTCAGGCCAGGCACACTCCCAAGGACTGACTTCACCAAGGGAACAGTTGGCCAGCATGTGCTGTCCAAGTGACCAGCAGCACAGCTCAGTGCAGATGTGGCAAACCACAGAGCTGCCGTGAGCTCAGCTGTGCCAAAGGTACCCCCCAAGGGGCCTGACAGGAACCCTGACTTTAAGGGAAATTGCTTCTTCTTCTCCACTGTCAACATTCACAGAACCAACAAAATGTATATTCTCTGTTATATTGACAGTCAAAATTATCCAGTGTATTTCCCCACGTTAGTTTTGGTGTCAGAATGACAAATTCAGAATAGCAACATATGTTTGCAAACATGATGTCCATCTGTGAAATCAATACCACGTTTATTTCTGTGGAAGCTTTGTCTTTTCCTGCTCCAGCTTTATTACTTTTCTCCCAATTGATGAATTCTGCCTCACACCTAGAGCAAGAATCACAGACTGGGTCAGTTTAGAAGGGACCACAGTGGGTCACCTGGCCCAACCTCCCTGCTCAAACAGGATCATCCCAGACATTGTTTCTCAGGACTGTGTCCAGATGGCTTTTGGATATCTCCAAGGAAGACGACTCCACAACCACTCTGGGCAATCTGTTGCAATGCTCAGTCACCTTCACAGTAAAGTTCTTCCTCATGTTCAGGTGGAATTTCCTGTGCATTTCTGCCCATTGCCTCTTGTCCTGTTGCTTGGCACCACTGAGAAGAGCCCAGCTCCATCTTCTTCAGACTCCTCGATGCATTAATAAGTCCCCTCTTGGACTTTTACATTAAGTCCCCTATTCAAAACCCACTTCTTCCCCATCCATATTTTCCCCAAGGAACACCTACACCTAGCCCAAAACCATCCCGCAAGCTGAACCACGACTGCTGCCGCTCTGCCCGGAGCCAGGCCTGGAGAAGCTCAGGACCGGGTGGGCTGTGACAGCCCTGTCGCCGGTTCCGCTCCGCTATCCCAGGGCCGGGATCCGGGACGGGCGCGGGGGTTGCGGGATCCCCGCCGCATCCGCGGGTGCGCGGCTCCCTCTGGCGGCGGCTCCGCGCCCTGCAGGGCCCCGCGCCCGCCCAGCGCCGCCGCCGCCGGCTCCGGCCCCGCGAGCGGAGCGCGGACCGCGCCGGTAACAATAAACTTGGCGGCGGCGCAGCCCTGCTGCGGCCTCCAGATAACCGCGAGCACAGAATTATAAAAATTTAAAAGAATCGCCGAGCCGCGTCCGCCGCGGGGGGGCGGGGTGTCGATTTTGTAGTCACCAGCACCGGAACGCCCGGAAAGGAGCTGATGACAAACGCCGGGGGTCGGTGCCGCCCTGGGAATTTCTATTTTTGCGGCTGGCGTGGACTCGCGCTTGTTTTCTTTTTGGTGGTTTTATTCTTTTTTTTTTTTTTGTTATTCTGCTCGGGGAGCGGAGCGCGGAGGAGGCGGGGAGAAGCGCCCCCCGCCCTATCGGTCCCGCGGGGTGGGGGGAGAAGGAGGGATTTTTTTTGGGGGGGGGGGGGGGGGGGAGGTTGCCCGGTCGCGCCCCGCGGCCGCCTGTGCGCGGCGCTGCGTTACCTGTAGCGGTGCGGCTTCTTCACCCCGCCAGTGGAGGGCGCGCTCTTGCGGGCGGCTTTGGTGGCCAGCTGCTTGCGGGGCGCCTTGCCACCGGTGGACTTGCGGGCGGTCTGCTTGGTACGGGCCATGCTCCTGCCGACGTCGCTGCCTTACACCTGCCAGGAGGAAGGTGGGCAGGCGGGGCAGGGGGGGAGGTGGTCGCCCCGCTGGGCGTGAGCCCCCCCGCGGCACCTGCCCCCGGGGCGGGCGGCAGCGCGGCCCCCGTCCCGCGCAACGCGTCCCTGCCCCGCCAGCCCCGAGCGCCGAGCCCGCGGCGGCCGAACGCCTCCGACGGCCAGTTAAAAAAAAAAAAAAAACCCACACCAAAAAAGGAAAAAATTAAATTAGAAATTAAACGCCGGCCGATCGCGGAATATTAAAATACAGCTTTTTTTTTGCCCACGAATTCAATATCAAAGCGGCGGCGGCTGAAGCCGAGCGAGCCGCACGGCAGCAGGCGCGGAGAGGCGGCTGTCGCCTCCCCCCCGCCGGCCGCCCGTCACCTGCCAAGTGTTTGCAAATACCGCCCGGCAAACATCGGGGGGCTGGCACCGACCCGCCGCTCCCACCCGCCGGAAAACCTCCTCCGAAACTGCGGAGCGGGGGCCGGAGGAGCGGCAGCCCCCGCCGGCCCTCCCCGGGCTGCCCGGCGCCCGCGCTCCCCGAGCCGCCGGCAACCGCAGGCAGCCCGGCGTTTATCGTGCGAAAAGGAAAGGGGCCGGATAAAGTGCGAGAAAGCAACAAACTTTGTTTTCGGGGGGTTGTTTTTTGGGTGCCGTCTTTCTCTTTCTGTGCAACTGCTTCCCCAAGAGCTGCCTCGCTCCCAAGCGCCTCTCACAGGCAAACTCAGCTCCCAGAGCCAGAACAAAATGGAAACAATCACGAAACGCAGCCCTAGTCCTTTTGCAAAGGAGGAAAAAATAAATTGCGAAAAATAACGCCAAAAATATCGCCAGGAACTCCAAACCGTGCGGGTGCAGATGCAGGGGGAGGCAGCGGAAAAGTTTGCACTCGAAAACCGAAAAATTGCGTCGCGTTTGGGTCGTTCCTTCGGCGAATTTCTTTCCCTTTTTATTGTTTTTTATGCAATAGGAAAAAAAATATGGTCGGTGACCAGAGAAAAGAGACAAGATGGTGAAGCTGAGCAACAACTGTGGGGAGCAGGGGAAGGAAGGCAGGAGAGTTACCCTGGGCTGGCGAGCGGCTCCCCTTTGCGACCGCTTCCCGGCCCCGATCCGGGGGATGTCGGGCTGAGGAGGCAGCTGAGGGGCTGGGGAGGCCGCTGGTGGGGGTCTGGAGCGGGGGCGAGGGGAGCAGAGGGGGGCAACGACCGCGCCAAGCGGGGCCGGGGGTGCCGGCGGAGGGAGCCGCTCCGGCTGCGCCGGGAAGGCGGCGCGGCCGAGGGGAACGCGAGGCGCCACCGCCTCCCGAGCGCCCCAAAAGTTTGTGGGGAGGCTCGGGGGGCAGCGGCGGTGGGTGTCGGGGCGCGGGGGGCGGCGGGCGCGGCGCCAGACTTACCCCGTCCGCTGGGCGAGCGCGGCTGCCGTGCGGGAGGGAGGGATGGAGGGCGGGCAGGCGGGCGGGCGCAGGAGGAGCCGGAGCTGCTGCGGCTGGCGCTGGCGGCGGCTCGGAGCACAATTGAAAGATGGCTGACGGGCGAGGGCCGGCCCCGCGCGCCGGCCCCGCCCCCCGCGCGCCGGCCCCGCCCCGGCCCCGCGCGGCCGCCAATGGCGCACAATGGAGGGAAGGCTCGGCCCCGCCCCCGGCCCCGCCCCCGGGCCGTGTGTACAAACACAAAAGGCACGCCGCGCGCGCCCGGGGATTCCCTGTCCCCGCGTCCCCCTCACGGCCCGGCCGCCACCCCCGCCCCGCCGCCGGGCACAGCCGCGGCCGCCGCTGCCCGTCCGGCTGGGTTCTTTGGGTTTGGGGGTCACCCCGTGGCCAGCAGGACTAGGGGAGTGATTTTCCCCCCGGGTCACACATGGAGTGATGCGTCCAGTTCTGGGCCCCTCACTACAGGAAGGACGTGGAGGTGCTGGAGCTTGTCCAGAGAAAGGCAACGGAGCTGGGGAAGGGTCTGGAGCATTCATCTTCCGACGAACTGTTGAGGGAGCTGGGGTGTTTATCCGGGAGAAAAGGAGGCTCAGGAGTGACCTTAAGCCCCTGAAAAGAGGTTGTAGCTAGGTGGGGATTGGGCTCTTCTCCCTGGCAACCAGTGACAGGATGAGACGAAATGGCCTCTAATTGCACCAGGGGAGGTTTGGCTTGGACATTAGGAGGAATTTCTTCACTGGAAGGCTGACTGGACATTGGAACAGGATGCCCTGGGAGGTGGTGGAGTTACTGTCCCCTGGATGTGTTTGAGGAAACACTGGACATGGAACTTAGTGCCATGGTCTGGTTGGGAAGTGGTGTTTGGACAAAGGCTGGACTCAATGACCTTAGAGGTCTTTTCCAACGTAATTGATTCTCTGATTCTGTGGCTTTTTTTCTTTACACAGAAGCAAAACAAAATTTCTCCCTGTAAGCTGGCCCATCAGAGCCCACCCAGCAAGGATCTGCTGTGGGAGGGCCATGCTTGGTGTGTAAAATGAGACCTGAGTGTCAGAAGGGAGCTGCTGGGGTACTTCTGTCTCAGAAACACACTGCAGGCACGATGGTTCACAAGGAAAATCTGCTGTTGGGGAAGGAAGAGGAACCTCATTTCCTGCATCAGTGCTGGGCCACGGTTTGGGGTTTGAGGTGCAGCTATTGCAAAAGCAACTGTAAGTTTAGCATTGTCACCACCAGCAGACCCCAACCAGTTGTATCAGCTGCCATGATGTTTAGTGGGAAAATTTGCTCTTTATTTTCTATTAATGTCAGGATCAAAAGGCCCTGGGGGAAAGTAACCTGCACTCTAATACAACTGAACAGCCACTAGCAATTGCTGTAAGTGCATCTCAACTACAGAGTCAGAGCCTCTGCTCACACAACTGGTGCCACCATCTTCTCTGTCATTTAGGCATTAGAAGGAGCCATATTTGATTTGCAAAATCTTTATTACGGATGATGATGTAATGCAGCTCTGCGTGGAGACATCCAAACTACCTCCAGCAGCAGAAGTGGTTTAGCCATGTGAGCATTCACTTGGGGCTAATCAAACCTGACAAGAAAGAGAGTGTTATCGTGGGCAGAACACCCTGCTAAAATAGAGATAGTCTGCATTAGTGCTCAGATAAAAACAACGGGCTGCACTACACAGACATGACCAGATATGCCACACACACACACACACACACACACACACACCTCTGACCCTACGGTGAGTTTATGAGAGGTGGCTGTCAGGAAAGAGAAACCACAAAGGACTTTATTTATACTTACAGAAGTACTGGTGGATTGATTTATCTATTCATAGCATTTTATGAGAGAACAGCACCTTACCGGACAGTCCAAAGTGAACTCTGAGCTGTTCAGTATTATACAATCAGACTATTTGCAAATGCTCAGTAAACTCTAAAAGCCAGGCACAGAAATTGGCATCAATTCCCCACACAACACACACATCCCATGATGGAAAAGTTAGAAGAGGGCAGCCCCAGTTCCCAGCCGCAGGAAGCTGCCCGGAGGTTAACAATCCATAGCTCGTCCCTGTCAGCTTTAGCTCTGCCCGCTCCCGGGGGTGCGGAGGAAGGGCTCTCCGTCCGGCGGTTCCCGCTCCCTTCTCCCGCAGGCGGAGCTGCTCCTCCGCGCTCCCGGCTGCGGCCCTGCCTGGCCGGGCGTGCCCGAGCCCCGAGGTCAGCGGCGGGGCCGGTCCCCCCCCGTGCCACCGGACGTGCCCCCGCCGCCATTGGCGGGAGCGCCCTGGAATTCCATGACGCCAGGCGGGGCGGGGCGGGGTGCGCGGCTGTCCCGGCCCCGGCGAGCCCGTGTTTTCCTCCGGGAGCTCTCGTGTGTCCCGGAGGGCCGCAGCGCTGCTCCCGCCCTGCCGCTGGCAGCTCCGGCTGGTTTCAAATGCGTGAGGAGCACCGCAGGCAGCACTACAGCGTATTGTCTGCCCGGAGAAGGAAAAACTATTCCAGTATTACCAGGTTTTGCACCTTCGCTGATTAATGCCATTAATGCCATTAAAGCCGTGCTTTTCCAGAGCTGCAGGAACAGGTACGGCCCTTTGAGCTTTGCCACAAATGTTATTTGAGTGCCTACAGAACAGCACAGAAAGAGCCGGCCCAACTCTAAAAAGACTCCAGATGCTCATCTTTCACTGGCAGCACCGATAAGCCTCTGCTCCTCCTTTCCGAAGGCCTTTATCTCTGCAGACCACAGGCATCTTCCACCCTAAGGCATCCATAAGCGGCCATGAAGGAATCTACCCTAATGAGATTCCACTGGTTTAGCCGGCAAGAACACGCCAAGGACAACTGCAGTACTTCATCCTCACCCGGCGGAACCACCGCTGCTGCAAACGCGGCCAGATTGCTACGGGAAAGAAGATTAGGGTGGAAAACAGCTGGTGCAGCTTGGAGCCAAAGAAGATTCAAATATCATGAATAGAAAAGAGGAGCACTCAAATCAGAAGTTGTTTTCAGCATCTTTCATAGAAAGTAGACAGTCCTCATTCAGCAAAAGAGAAGTGGATTTCCACTGCTTGTATTCCTTTGGGCTGTCCAAGTGGCAGATGTTTTTCAAAATAATCTCTTCCACTTTTCCCTTGTTGGGAAACTCTCCTCTTGCCTGGGAGACTGAGCAAAGGCAGTCACCTTTTCCATCAGGATGCATTAATTGCAACCTTTATATCAAGCTAAAAACACTGTTTCAAAATGTTACTAGGGAAAAAAAAAACAACCCAGACCAAACAAAATGAAACACAAAACAAGCAAAACTAACACATTGTTGCTTTGTACCTTTCCAAATAGCTCCTAGTCAGCTTCCAGTGTAATGCACTGGACCAGTTGGAGGAAGAGCTACCAGATCAACTCCAGTGGCATCACAGACTGCAGGAACATCTACAAACTGCAGCAGCTGCTTCCCTTTGCAAAAGCACAGAGTACAAGCCAAACAAAACACAGCAGAGCAGATGAAGTTTGCCTTTTTTGAGGTTAACTGGACTAAAAAATAAAAAAGGGAGTCCAGAGTATGATCAGAGTATGGTTCTTTTCAAGCAACACTGCAGGTAATCTTTCAGAATCATTTGAGAAAGGCTTCCCACTACAAAAGACATTCACAGTTTGTCACCAAACTCCAAAGGGTCTCTGATCAAAGAAGAAATATTTCTTTCCTATCCCCCCAAAAGCACAAACTAAACATCCAAATGACTTAGTCTAGTTCCAGCTCAACAGATAAAGGTCCTCTCCTATCACCCAGGGAAAACTGGGGTTGTTATTATATTTATCTAAAAGCTACTCAGACATTTTGGTGATGGAAGGAGTATAAAAGAATACCTTTATTTATCGACAGCCTTCACCTGACTCCTACTTTCTTTCACCTCCTCCCAGACCCAATTCTCCCTTCCTGTTCTCAGTCTCCCTTCTTTAACTCATTGAACCTCCAACCAACCTTTGCACTCCAGATCTGCAAGTTCTCCCCTATTTCCTGCTCCAGCTCCCAGCCTGGTGCCCATTTCCTTATTTCATACTCACTACACACCTCTTTGACTCAATGTATTTGCTCAGACAGTTGCATTTTTCTCTTCTTTCTGCTTGTTTTTTTTTTCTATCTCTGTCTTTCATCCTCTTGATTCTGATGCCAAACAATTCCTACCTTCCCCTAGTTTTTCAGCCAGCCCCAGTGCCATACCTGCTGTGTTCCCTTCTGCAGCTCCCAGGCTGGACAGCCTTTCCTAGCCAATTTCAATCCCATCCTTAAAAAACACTGGACTGTGTTGTTTCATCCTCACTCCAGTCCTGGCAGGCCTGCTATGCACTTACAATTTCTCCTGGAAATTAAAGTTAAGTGTCAGTACAAAATGCTCACAAGCTTTAAAACTATCTTCCTCTTAAAATGCATTTTGACAGAATTAAAATATTTGTAGCCTTAACTTTGCATTAACAGTACATTTTGTGCAGATTTAAACATATTCCTAAATAATCATCTACATAAAAGACAAAAATACACATTTGCTGTTTTTTCCTGGGAAGTTACTAGGGGTGGCAATCATTGGCACTTGTTAAGGAAAGTACAAGTCACCTGAAAACCTCAAAATGAGTTACAATCATCTTGCCTCTGTGTAAATAGCTTTCTATTAGGATTTGTTTTGAAGGTTTCTATGTCATGGGTTTGTAGAGCACAGAATCACAGCACAGTAACAGCAGCCATTGCACTGCAGAGCTGTTTGATATGCTGGGTTGCCCATCACACAGGACACCTTCCTATCCTTTGGAATATTTATATTCTCTGCCAATACAGACACCAAAAGTACACTGGCCAGAACTAGCAGCTGTGTAGTACACCTATCTTTAGAGATTGGCACCTACTGGAAACACAGATAAGAAGTGGTTGTGGAGTAGCAGGAGTAGTAGACACAGCATTTTCCTCACTTTTATTGTGTCTTTTAATAGTGTCTTTTGCCTTTTGCAGTTCTCTGAAATGCTTCACATATATCAGACATTATGGTCCTGCTGTTCAAAGAAAACTCTTTCACAAGTGTTTACTTGTAAGCAACTCTCAAGCTCCACAGGTTCCTGGGGAGGATACAAAATTTTTAATTTATGCCTGGAAAAAAAAGTGGATCCCTGAAAACTGAGCCTGAAGGAAAGTCTCCCTGTTTAAATAACAATGCAAGTATACATGTGCCACACAAAAAATTTATTGGGATTCCTGGGTTCTTCAGGAAAGCTTAAAAGAAACAGCTACCTTAAAATGCAAAATCATCAGTCCTGACATCCAAAGTCCAAAGGTACTTCTTTTCACACTTTGAGCATCACATATGGCCAGGGGATTCAGGACAACTGACTTTGGAGATAAAGTGCATTTTTCTAATGTCTCATAACCCAAAAGCAGTAAATCTGTTTTTTTCTCCAAACCTTTTTTGGTAATTAACACTATTTCAATGAAAAGTTTTTCCCAAAAGGTATTTCAAGGACAAAGTTCTAAAAGAATGAAAATAAGCCTACAATAGTTCAGAGAATAAGATTCAGGATCTCTGGATTTTGCTTCTCTTTTTGGATTACCATTAAATTTTAGGATGCTTGGTGAGTTTGACTTGTAGGATCCTCTCCTATAAAGACTTACCAAGCTCCTCAAGTTTCACTGAGTATATGTCTGCTTTTATATAGGGACTCCTGGCTCTAATTCCTTATGTATCATCCAGGATTTTCTTATTATAATCTCATTTGTATGGCCCATTATTAACACACATGCACTGCTGGAACTCATCCTTCTAATGAGGTCCCCCAGAACATGAAAGAGAAAATAACATTACTATAGAATGCTGCTAATTCTTTGTTTTCTGTGGTCTAGTGAGTTTCTTCTGTTGGAAAGAGTCACAAAAATCCTGTATGTCCACCCTATAATGACATCCTGAAACTCCATTCCTATTCCTATCTAGTTTGCTTATTTGTTTGTCCATAATAAGCCTTTTACATATGCTTAATATTTTAGTACACTTTCTAATAGAAAGTAAAAAAATCTCCATTACCTTTTGAAGACTGGAAGTTAAAAATATCTTTAATTGCCTGATCCAGAGCTAAGAAGAGTTCCAGGTACATACAATGCACTGTAACTGTAACCACAGTCTTCATTTCTTCTTATCAGCTCTGAAGGACTGGCATGCAACAGTTCAGTACCTTAAGGTGGAAACAGGACTTGCAATATCATGCCCAAAAAAGCTGTATTCCTATTACACTGGCACTAAAAAAAATCCTAAACAGAAACCCCCTGTCAGTAGAACTTCAGTTTCTTATTGACTTCTCTAAGCTTATGCCCAATCTTCCTCCATTTCTCAGGACAGTATTGTGATTTATTCTTGGATACTGCCAGTTTGGAGTGCACTAAAGGGTTAACTGAAACAGAAACCAAGTCCTAGCACCCGATAGGGAATAGGGCAGGATAGATAATGGTGAGGTTATTGTACAGCCCTGCCAAAGCCTGGAAATTGGATGGTATGACAAGGAGTATCTGTGATTTTTTTAGATGAAGTATGATCAAATGTGATAACATATTTCAGAGATATGATGTGAAATTTAATTATAGAAATATGTTAAAGGCATTGAGTGAAAGGACTGGTGGACAAGTAAAAAGAAAAGGGAGTTTTTCCTCTGTAATGATAATGCAAGAATCTGAAATTTACTGTAACTGCCTGAGTTAGTTTGCATTGACAGACACATTTCAAGTGGGTTTTTGCAGAATTTTTTTGCAGAACAGGGAAGAACAATTGTTCTGGGGAGTATTTCTTCCCAACATTACAGCAGAATAAAATTATTTAACTGATTTTAGCTCTCCTGGCTCTTCACACATGACTAAGTTATGATAACAACCTTTGCTGTCTTTTGAAGCATTGTATTCTACTGTGGAAGGAATTGGGCAGCCCATGGTTTTCTAACAGAAACTGCTGCAAAATCTTTTATTTCCAGTACTTCTGTGTGATGAGTTCATTAAAACTGCCAAGGAGAAACAACCAACACAAGCCCTAATTGGTTCCCAAGTAAGATCCCTACTACAAGTACACTGATATCCTAGGAGCTCCTGTTGTAGGAGAATTCCAGCTGGCTGATTTGCCCCAAGGCTCTCACCTGCTGGAAAACAAACCCCTGCAGGCTTGCATTAGGGAGGGGAAAAGAAGGATCACTCTTTCCCACCACCCATTAGGCTCCCATTGGCTCCATTCTGCAGCATTGCTCTTGTAAAGGATGCCTTTTCACACACTGATGCAGGCTCCAGCCCCTGCTAACACTGCCTTGAAAGGCTCTGAGAGCTACTCTACTTGACAGAACTCAAAGATAATATTATTTATTTCATTTCATTGCTCAGTAGGGTAATCTCATGAGATATGAATCTCTTCTTCATGAGGGCCCTGGGGATAGCAGGCAGAATGAAACTCAGCTACTCTTTAGTACAATTCAGACAGCACAGACCAAAGTACTCAGGCTCCAACAGCAAACAGCAGACCAAAATACCAGCTACGACACCCTATATCTTCATTTATTTGGAACAATATTCTGTAGGCTGGTTGCTTTCAAAATAAATCTGCTTGTTTCTTGTAAAAACATAAGACTGTCTTGAAATGGCATTGATGCTTCATAAGCCTCATTTGTGATGCTTCCTCAAGCCTCAGCTGAGGAAGGGTCTCAAAAATGAAAATAATGTTCTGAGGTCTGGCTCTAAGACAGCTGAGAAGTGTTCTGACACGTCCCATCTTTCTGAGCAAGTATTCCCAAATCTCAAAACCCACTTCTGGAGAAAGTGGTCTCCTGAGAGCAGAAAAGGGAGAGGGAAGATGGAGTAGCAGACATTACATTTTAAAGCATCAGCAAAGAACATGAAGTTATTTTCAGTCTTATGAGACTACAGAGCTTTGGGGGTTTTTAAAGAAATGAAAGCTTCCTATTTTCCCAACATTCTTTGTAAGTTACACACTCTGCAGACTCTACTTTTCTGTACCATATTTTTAGGTAATTTTTCTTCATTTCTCCTCCTCTTCTTCTCAAATTCACATCTCACAAGGCATCACAGTATGAAAACTGCAGTTGCTGTTGAGAGTAGCACTTTATGGTAGCACTTCTCATTAGTTTCCTAATGCTCAGAAACTTCTGCAACACAGTTCATGTACAAACCTACTGAAGAACAATTTGCCCTGACTACTCAATGTTCAGTATCCACAATTGCAGCTGAGAATAAGAGGATTCACAGATATTCACTTCTGAAAATGAGACCTAGTGTGCCTCTGACTACAGACCCAGGTGTGGGCACCCTAATTAGAGGCTATTTTTTAAAAACTCCTTTAAAGTGCCCATAGAGCTGCTTTCACATCACAAGGGAGAAAGTGCCAGAGCCAGAATTAGAAGTTCCTGTCTCCCAAACAGGCTCTGAGCACACGTCTTGTGTCAGAGAAGGGGCCGGAAGCGAGGGTGCACAGGAACCATGTGGCAACAGTGGTTCCTTCTGATCAAACAGTGCCTGACAAACCTCACTCGCTCTGTGAGTGCCACAAAGCTGCTGTCATGGGGCCCAGCTGCCCTAAAGGAGTCCAGAGATCACTGGTGATGAGAAGGATTTGTCAGGCAGCACCAGTTCATTATATTTGATTTGTATGTCTTAGTCAGTTTCTGACAAAATTCCCTCTTAAGTTTTGCAATGAGACTGGGGAGTTTTACCAAAAGCCAGACAGGTGATAACATAAAAATCTCATCTTTTGTTTTTGAAATCTAAAGAAAGTGTCAGACAGTAGTATTTGCAGGAACAAGCTTGATCCTCTAAAATCTCCAAACTCATCAAAACAAACAAGCACCAGAAGGTAAATGAGAATGTACAAATTTAGCATGTGCTAACATTGCATGATTCTGGCAAATCTGACGTTCTGTGGGGACTCACTACAACTCCTGCATGCTAAGTCTTGGCACTACCACTGACAGTGTACAAGTGATGCTAAAATACAGCCTGGGCAACTAAAGTGGAGAACATCAGTTGGATTAAACATGGACTGCAGGGCACAAATCTCAGGGCAGAGACAGAGAAGCAGCACCACTTGAAACCTCAGCAGCAAAGAACTACAGGAATGGCTGCCAGCCTGCTTCCCCTGGGCTACAAGGCTTCCAGGCACACTTTCCATGCTGGCACTGTGTCCTGCATTCAGCAGAGGGGCTGTGCTTCTGCAGGATAAACCCCCAGTGTGAGAGGGAGTCATTTATCAGATGCTACTGAAGTTGACATTACACACTTCATTCCAGCTTGAAGTTATGCCCTTTGGCCTAGCCCTGACCAATATTCCCCAGGCCAATGGAGAGCCAGCATTCCTGGAGTCACTGTCACTTCCCCCTGCTAACAGCACACAGCACCCTTCTCCCGTGGTGCACTGAAGCACAAGCTGGCTGCCTGGCAGTCCTGAATTTCGGGATGTGGCTCAGAGGGCCCAGAAGATTGCTCCTGCCACATCTGCAATATTTCAGGTTCTTGGTTCTGAGAAGCACAAGGTCACCCATAGAACCTTCACAGGCAAGGGGACACCTGCACAAAGCAGGAGTGAACACAGGTCAGAGCCATGCCCAGTCTGCAGATGTGGGGGTACAACTGGCATGAAGTCTTCTCCTGACAAACTGTTCCTGTAACTTCCTGATACAAAAGAACATGAGGGAGAAAAAAAAAAAACCACAACAAAACAACCATCATCAACAAGATTTTCCAGCTGTGACTTTCACACACTGGCAAGAACTTCTTCATAGCCCTGCTTTGAGAAGCAACCAATCTGGCATATTCTGACACCAACATCACTTCTAGGCCAGAGCCCAAGTCAGACAGGAGCACGAAAGAACAAAGGCACAACTGTACCATCATCATGTTTCTAATATTGAAATATAACCATGTGAGGACATGATTTTTCCAGGCCTCACATACATATGACTTAAGAAAGATCCTCAAGGGGCATAGTGAGCTGTATTACAAATTCCTCATAGATGACATATAATTACCTCTGTTTTGGAAAGGATTAGAAGAAACACTGGAGAGGAATCCAACCAGTGGTACTCCCTGAACATCACACTAACAATTTAATTTCAGTTGCATGGGTGCAAAAAGTAAACAAAATGCCAAATTATTCCAGTATCAAATCAACAAGAAGCTACACATATCTGTAATCTTATAATGTCAGTATTCTCCAACTCAAACTTATGGTATAGAACAACAACAAAAAAACTAAATCAACATTTGTATGTTTTTTTCTAAGAGAAACAAATATGAATGTGTTATTATTAATTTGTAGGTCCTCAGCAAGCTGGCAGAACATTCTCTACACAAGAAGATAAATATTACTCCTACAGGAATGTTGTCTGAGTATAAGTGGGGCTTGTATGATCCAGTCAATAGGCAACCATGTCAAACTCAGCACCCAAAGAATGAGGCCTCTCTCCACTACAGACTGGATCCTGAACTTGGGGCATCTCCCCCTCAAGCCAGAGGACCTTTGAGAATTTACACTAGCTGAGGATCTGACTCATAACACTTGATCAAAGGTCAAATGATCAGTGTCACCATCTGCTTTAAACAGGATTTATGAACATCACCATGCCACAGACTGCTGAGCACGTGCTATCTCTGCTGAACATAACACAAAATGAGGGCTTAGCCACTCTGCTTGAAATTTCTGTCTTTTCAGAGCACACCTGTCCTGTGTGCTCTCCCTTTTGTTGCTGTCCTCTTTTCCTCTTTCTGTTTCTTTGTAGTCTCTTCAGGTAAACCGAAAGCAGGCAGACGTGGGTGGGGCAGTATAATTTGGGAGCTCCTCCCAATTACTGGAAATGCAACTTCAGTTCTAGCAGGGAACATTTCCAAATCAATTTTCATCTCAGTTGAAAAACAAATGAGGATACCTGATCTGATTTTTTTTCCCCTTCAGCTGATCATTTCAAGAAGAGTATAACTTTGGTCTAATTATTGCAGACAGTGTCATGATGGGATGAAAAGTCCACATTGCAAAGCCATAAAATGTTCACTCTCTCTCTCCTGTTTCTTAAAAACTTTAAGGTATAAGGGTCTGACAGAAAATAGAGATGCACCTTGCATATAATATACACATTTCATACCTTATGCTCACTCTTAGCTTTGGATTTTTATGAAGT